ATATATTTCTGAGAGATAACAGAGAGGGAGAAGGAACCTGTCCTGACCAGTGTGAAGAATTTGATGGAAGATTTAGGAACTAAGAGTGTGAAATTGGAAAAGAAAAAACAGCGAGACAAGCTTACTACTGAAACCATAGTGAGGTCTTAGCAAGAACACCACCACCACCACCATATCTATAACTGATTTGTGGCAAATGCAGCACTTCGGACAACAAACGTTTGCAAATCAGTGCATACCACACTGTCTTCCCTCCCTTTTGCTTTCTGTCACTGGCTGGCAGTACCGTAGCCTTGCCTTCTCTCTTTTTTTTTTTCTCATTAAAATTTAATTTTAAAAAGGTATCTAGTATTTTAGAGCACAGAGACTTTTTATACCTTCTAAATCTTTAATTATCATTCTTCCACAGTTTAGGACAATGCTTTTAGTTCTGTCAACAAGAAATCAAACACAATGTTTGACAATTATGTATTTAGAAATTAAAATCATTTTGTGGATCAACAGTTTACTGTATCATAAATTATTTAATGTAGTCATCCATATTATTTAATCATAAGAGAGGTCATTCATTCTTCTAATACATACTTTCAATATTGCTATGTACCAAGGACTATAATAAACACTGGAAAGTAAAGACAAATAATCCTTAGGATCTTATCTGAAGGAAGTTAAAATGTGATAGATACATCGATGGAGCCATTACAATTACGTAATAATTGTTGTGATAAGTGATACACAATATCATACACAATAAGATATGATAGTGATTTTCTTAGAGCTATGAAGGACTAAAACAAAGAAGTCACTGTCAAGAGAAATAAAATTTTTCCCAAAAGAAATAACATTCTAAATTAGTTTTGGAAATAAGAAAGATATTCCCAATTAGAAAAGAGTGGTGATGCTATTCTAGGCAGAATAAAGAACAGATAGTTAATGATGAAAGCACAAAAGGAAGAGACACTTCCAGAGGGTTTGGATTTGAACACATTAGGGGAAGAACATCAGTGACTGAAGTTTATAAAGCCAACTATAAAGGATTTTATAATCTGAATGAACTCTTTGTGTACTTTACATAGTGGAGCAGAGGTGCAGAAGAGAAGAGAAGAGAAGAGAAGAGAAGAGAAGAGAAGAGAAGAGAAGAGAAGAGAAGAGAAGAGAAGAGAAGAGAAGAGAAGAGGAAGGGGAAAGAGAAGGAGAAAGCAAAGGAAAAGGAGGAGAAGGAGAAAGACAACAGGAAGGAGAAGAAGGAGGAGAAGATGAAGGAGGAGGAGAAGGAGAAGGAGACAGAGACGGAGAAGGAGAAGGAAAGGAGAAGGGGAAGGAGAAGGAGGAGAAGGAGCTCAAGGGGAAGGAGGAGGAAGCGGAGGACGGAGAGGAGGAATAGGAGGAGAAAGAGAGTATAGGATTTCTTTTTAGGCACCTACTGCTGAAGGTATATAAAAGAGACCTCGGCTAAGCCACAGTGAAGCAGTAAGAGGAGTCATGAGGCTACTCTTCAGGCCCAAAATGATGCAGGCCAAGAACGGTTGTAAGATAATGAAAAGTAAAATCATGTCATATGCAGTAAAATGTACGAAACAGAAGATCATTGCATAAAGCAAAATACACCGCATGCTTCTTTGTATGTGTAATCTAACAGTATTAGAAACGAGAGCGCAGGGACATAAGGGAGGCTAGAGCCAGAGAGAAAGGGGTTCGAAGAAGGGAGAGGGCGTATGACAGCAGAGGGGGAGACTATTAGAAATCTGCTGTGTCCATGCACA